TATGTGGGACACATGGTGAGAACCACTGTCCGAAGAATAAAGAAGGGATAAATTTGGTAAGGAATAAAAGTGGAAGGATAGACAACACTGTTTGCAACACTGATGTAACAGGAAATCATCCAAACATTGTGCTGAAAAACTAAAATGAATATCCATGTCTGCAAAATATCATAGGATAGCAGTTTATTTTTCTTTCTTTTTTTAAATTTTATTGTACTTTTATTTTTTTATTTTTTTCATTTATTTTTATTAGTTGGAGGCTAATTACTTTACAATATTGTAGTGGGTTTTGTCATACATTGACATGAATCAGCCATGGAGTTACATGTATTCCCCATCCTGATCCCCCCTCCCACCTCCCTCTCCACCCGATTCCTCTGGGTCTTCCCAGTGCACCAGGCCCGAGCACTTGTCTCATGCATCCAACCTGGGCTGATAATCTGTTTCACTATAGATAATATACATGTTTCAATGTTGTTCTCTCAGAACATCCCACCCTCGCCTTCTCCCACAGAGTCCCAAAATCTGTTCTGTACATCTGTGTCTCTTTTTCTGTTTTGCATATAGGGTTATCGTTACCATCTTTCTAAATTCCATGTATATGTGTTAGTATACTGTATTGGTCTTTATCTTTCTGGCTTACTTCACTCTGTATAATGGGTTCCAGTTTCATCCATCTCATTAGAACTGATTCAAATGAATTCTTTTTAACAGCTGAGTAATATTCCATGGTGTACATTTTAATTGAACATCTACTAAGTATGCATAACAAAATGTCTGCCTTGAAAGAACTTACAGCATATTAGCATAAGTTGTACATGTATCAAAATATTACTACTAAAATTTCAAAAACTGATAAGCCCTATGAGGATAAGTTATGTTGTATAAGTTTTCAGAAGAGGGAATGATATGTGGTGAGCTTCTTTAACTAACTGATGACTCTCTAACATGGACAAGAACATGGAAAAACATGGAAAAGACCACAAATGGAATTGTATAATACAAGGAAGCAAATTACATCCAGAGCAGAATTGAAAAAAATATTATACACAAACCACACACAAATATTTGCATTCTACTACCAGAGATAATCAAGTTAGGAGGACAATGATTAGTCAGACTCTAATCTATTCTTGCAAAGAGTATTGTAGGTAGGAGTGAAGGAACTTGTTTTTAAGTTATATATGGGTGACAAAGGTTAGAGCTTGTTCTCTTTCTGTATTAAACAAATGCCATCAGCCTCTGGAGTTAAGCTAAGGAGTGGCCTCTGTCAGCAGAGTTCAAAGAAAAGTAAAGGCCAGTTGAGTTTCAATGAGGAAGAATCCTGGAGAGTGAGCTATAACCAAAGGGGACAAATAAAATTCCCGTCCTCCAGAATTCTCTATTTGCAGATAATGCAAGAACTTCCCAGCTTGGAGCAGATGTTTATTCACCTGTGTATTTATTATAATAAAGCAAACATGCCCTCTCTGCTGGATGAAAACAGATCATTAGAATCTAATCCTATTCCCCCTGGGATATCTCTTCACTATTTTCATGTTTCTTTATATTAACTCTCATCATACACATATGTTTTCTGACAGCTGATTTTTCAGAGAAAAGACACAGTAGGTGCCCATTATGAATGAACTGAGCATGGGAAATTTACATCCTAGGGACCTCTATCTATAAAATATCTGGAGTTTTACTGATGAAACTAAAAATAATAGTGATACACAAGGGAAAGAACTGTTGTGTGCTTTTTTAAATTAGTATAGCTCAATTTAAAAAATTTGGTCACTTTATGTGGTTTCAGAGAGTGGCATAAGTTCATAAAAAATATATCTTCTTTAAATTCCTGAAGTTTCCAATTGGTTGCATGTTCAAAAAAAATTTTTTTTAAACCTGGCAACCAAAGGATATACTGAAGTATGATTCATAAACAGCCAGGGATAACCACCAAAGAGTACACATAAAATGTACTATTTTCTTGTCAGCCAAAGAAAACTAAGGCTATCCAATGGAATTTAAGATAAGAATGGAAACAGAACATAAACAAAAAGAAAATTTGGTGAACATGAAGTATGAACTAAAGCAAAAGGAATAAATCCTAACAGAAGTGTAAAAATAAATATGAGTGGCTTAAATTCACAAATATAAAAAGCATTTGTTCTAGGATGTGATTTGAAAAATAAGATTTTACATTATACTGTTAGCAAGAGACAAAATTAACATTAAAGGTTATTTTCATTTTCAAAATAAAGAAACAGAAAAAAGTATGCCTAGGTAAATGAGAATCAAAAGAAAACATGGATGTCAATTTTATATCTGGAAATAGAAAACAAATAAAAAATCCCAGGTTGCAATGGGGTTAAAACTTTAAAAAGTCAACACTAGTACAGCCACTATAGAGAACAGTGTGGAGATTCCTTAAAAAACTGGAAATAGAACTGCCATATGACCCAGCAATACCACTCTTGGGCATACACACCGAGGAAAGCAGATCTGAAAGAGACACGTGCACCCCAGTGTTCATTGCAGCACTGTTTATAATAGCCAGGACATGGAAGCAACCTAGATGTCCATCAGCAGACGAATGGATAAGGAAGCTGTGGTACATATACACCATGGAATATTACTCAGCCATTAAAAAGAATTCATTTGAATCAGTTCTAATGAGATGGATGAAACTGGAACCCATTATACAGAGTGAAGTAAGCCAGAAAGATAAAGACCAATACAGTATACTAACACATATATATGGAATTTAAAAAGATGGTAATGATAACCCATATAGGGCAAAACAGAAAAAGAGACACAGATGTACAGAACAGACTTTTAGACTCTGGGAGAAGGTGAGGGTGGGATGTTCTGAGAGAACAGCATTGAAACAAATATACTATCAAGGGTGAAACAGACCACCAGCCCAGGTTGGATGCATGAGACAAGTGCTCAGGGCTGGTGCACTGGGGAGACCCAGAGGGATGGGATGGAGAGGGAGGCGGGAGGAGGGATCGGGATGGGGAACACATGTAAATCCATGGCTGATTCATGTCAATGTATGACAAAACCCACTACAGTATTGTAATTAGCCTCCAACCAATAAAAATAAATGGAAAAAAAGTCAATGGTTGATAAATTATGATCACAAGCCGTTTATGCAGAATTAAAACTGACAGGATGACTGAAAGAGATAGGCAAATTGACAATTGTCATTTGAGATATGACTACATTGTATTCAGAAACAGACAAATGAAGGAGATAAAGTAATCAAAGGAATAACTGAAAGCCAAATCAAACAAATATTTTCAGAAAATGATAAGATCTTATCATTCATAACAGAGACACAAAAATAAAATTAAATTAGGTGTTAACTAAGCAAAATCAATGGTATTAGACATTGATATACCATGATAAAGTAAGATTTAGCCAAGAGATGTAACTATGGTTAACAGAATGAAAATATTTCATTTTACTTAACTATACTATTTGCGTAAAGTAGAAGAAAATCAAAGAGTTGTCTCAACTCAGAAACAGCAGTTGTGAGGTCTCTAACCATACACACACACATCAGAAACATTTTGAGAGACACTTTTGACAAACACCTTTGAAAGTTATTTTGAAATATGATACCCAGGAACGCTTGAGACAAATTTTAGATAGAACTAGAAGGAGGGTGTTTGCACTTTAAAACAGTACCTTTTGATCTGAGTCAAAGGATTTTAGGTATCTGTCAAGCTTGGGGTGCAACTCTGTACCTTAAAAAAAGTAGTGCTCACAGATTACCTTTTTTTGTGAGTTAGGGTAATTCTCACCAATTCTATCAAGTTATTACAGTTAACTCATTACTCAGAGAATGTCAATTCAAGTCAAATATTTATTGACTAAGCACTATGTTCAGGATATCGTGTTGATTACTGAGAGAAGAACAAAGAAAAACATCACATGGTACCTGTTTTTAAGAAGTTGAATATGGTGAAGTAGGCAGCACTCCCTGTGTGTTAATATACACACCGTGGCCCCTCTGCACTTTACACATGCCTGCTTTGCAAGACTAATAAAAAAGATTACCAAATAAAAGAAATTACCAAGGGCATGGTGACCCCATGCCCAGCCCAGCTCTGACATCTGGCTTTAGCTAAAGTTTGAGTATTTCTAAACCCCAATGGTTTATGTCATGTGTTTATAAAATGGGATAATCAGTAAGCTTGTAATACAATGCAGAAAACAAATTTTGTTTCCTAATTCTACATTTTCACAATTCAAGAAAGAATTAAATAATCATCAAACATTGTGGACATGACACACACACATGAGTACACATACACTGACATTAATAATAAAATCTTAATTATTACAAAGTCCAATGGTCACTTTAGCCTTGTTTTCTATTGTAGTCCTGGAATTAAATTTAGTTTTTAAATAAATAATGTAAGGCAGAAATTGGAAAGACATTTTTCTGAAAAAATTCAAATAGTAAACATTTTAGGCATTGTGCATCATAGGGCCACTGTCACAATTATTCAGCTCTATTGCTATAGCATAAAAGTAGCCAGAGACATGTAAATAAACCTTGGCTGTGTGCCAATAAAGCTTTACAGACACTGAAATTTGAATTTCATATATTCATACATTTCTTTCTTTCTTTCTTTTTTTTTTTTTTACTATTTTTTCAACTATTAGAACATGTAAAGCCCATTTGTAGCTTGCAGGTCATATAAAACAGGTGGCAGGCTAGTTTGGCAGGAGATCATAGCTTGACAACTATTAAGTTACTCAATAAATGATGTTTTTTTTCCTATTTCCTTTTAATATTTTAAGACAGATTTATTTTCATAATTGAAAATCTCAAATGTCTTCCTATTTGTGAAAGGAAGCGCTTTTCCCCCTAGCTTTTTGTAAATTCCATTTTTCTAAACTGTAGGTCATTATATTGTTTCCATGAAAAAAACCCTTTTTTCCTTTTAAGACACCCTTTTATGAAGTAATTGTAGAGAATGAACATGGTTTAGACAACTTACCAAATTAATCTGCAGAGTTTTTTCCCAGTTTTTCTCATTATTCACTCCAGCATTATTGACCAAGATGTCCAGCCTTCCAAAGTGATCTACAACTTTCCTAAAAGTATCTAATAAAAAAAGAAGACATTATAGATCTGTTCTTACTTTGCACAGATACATTTATCACAGTGTATGCCCTGAAACGATATTTTAACTTATGCAGTCTTCTGGTGAAAATTACACTACTAGACTGTAGCTTATTGCCTTGCTTCTCAGTGTGGTTTGTGAGTCAGCAGGATCAATCAGAATTACCTGGGAACCTGTCAAAAATGCAGAATCAGTGGTACCACAGACCTACGGAATCAGAATCTTAACCTTAGTAAGATCCATAGACAATTTGTATGCACATTAAATTTCTGTAAGCAGTATCTCAATGGAGTAAATTTTAGAGAGCTGAGCACCCTGTGCTAAGTGCTCTTGGAAGTCAGTTTGGGCAGCCAGCATCTCTGTCCCTGAGAAGTTACTGAAGTTCTGTGGTTTAGCCTATGACAAACATCCTTTTAAAAATAAGCCATATTATCTTCAGAAAGTGTCACGTTAAACACTTGTGTATTCAGATCCATTATGATCGTTTTAGTGCATCTAGTACCTAGTGGGCTTCCCAGGTGGTGCTAGTGGTAAAGAACCTGCCTGCAAATACAGGAGGCACAAGAGATGCGGGTTCGATCCCTGGGTGGGGAAGATGTGGGATCTTCCCCACCCAGGGGAGGAGGGCATGGCAGCACACTTCAGCATTCTTGCCTGGAGAATCCCATGGACAGAGGAGCCTGGCGGGTCCACAGGGTCACAAAGAGTCGGACATGACTTAAGCAACTTAGCAGGTACACGCACACTCTTCAGAACTCCACAACCACCTTACAGGAAATTAGGTTGTCAAATACTAATGGCTTCTCACTTTTGGGCTCAAGCAACTCATAGTCTAGGTTTTGCTGACATTTAAAAGCCGCGGCACCCTTTATAATTTGCCTAAACTCTTCCTGTTGCTTTTTTTTTCATCTGTAGGTCATCTCCAAGAACTTTTTCACCTCTGTTTTTATCATTTCAATGACATCTCTTGGGCCACATGTCTACATAGTTTTAAAAGTTGTAGCCCACACTAAACCTTGAAACTGGAAGAGCCAATGCCAAGTTTTCCTAAAATGCAAATAAACACTGATGTCTAGAAAACATGTGGCTTTCTCATCGACCATCATGTCTTCTCCTGGTCACTCATTATGTGTCTGGTTTCCTCCTCCACAATCAGTTATCTTTAAGGAACGTGTTTATAGCCAAGGTACTAATTTTAAATACTGGGAAGCAAAACAATTAAGGTTAAATGTCATGTGCAAACCTACATAAATTCAGACAGAAATAGCTTTCAGATGACCTCTACTGTTCGCTATTCTGTCAGCATGGCTGTTGGGATTTGACATGACTTTACCCCTGAAGAAAAATACCCTGTGCAATCAGCAAAACTTTATCCTCTGGCAAAATACATTCCTCTGGCACTGTGTTTACAGGTCTCTTCTGCTCACACTTATAATCCATGTTATGGGTCTTTATAAAATTTTCAGAGTTTAATTACATAATTTCCTTTAAAACAATTTCCCTAAACAACAATGTTTCCTTCTAATATACCACTCCATTTTCGCTCTTTCACAGAACACAGAACACTCCAACATTAAAAAAAAAAAAACACACACACACAGACTCATCCATGTTAAGAAAAGTATTAAAGTGACTTTCATGAAAGTTTTTTGGTCCGTTAATTAAAGATGTACCTAAGAACTTTTTTCACTTAGTCTTTCAATAAAAAAACTTTGTGAAATACAAATGTTCTATTTTCTCATTTTTCCTCGAAATACATGTATTTTTTCATACAGATCTGTTGGACTTCTAAATGACCACATCTGTTTTTTGTCTACACCAATACTGTCTCTAGATTGGTCAAGTAGATCTGTCTGTCTTAAACGAGTAGACAGAAACAGGAAAGCACTGAGGAAAGTCTGATAGAAACTTTTCTTCTGCAATTCTAACTCTGCAATACAACTATTACTGTTTTTAAAGCATTTCATAGGGGAAAAATCAGGAAGAACATCTGGTCAAAAGCATCCAGCACAGCTGTGATGACAACCCTTGACCTTGCATTCTAGCATGTTCCAAGGAGAAACATTGCCACATTTGATTGCCATTGGACTCTGCCGTCCTCCAGCTTTCTGGGAGAAGTAGTTTGCAGTAATCCCCTAGCCTATTTTATCTTTCTAAGTTCCATTTGCAAGTTCAATCATTTAATAACTACTGAAGCAGCACTACTTGGAATACACCAAGGAATTTTGATTACATTAGGTGCTGCCAAATGACTAAAAGAAAAGGATTTCTCAAACATGCTTGGCTTTTCTTCCTCCTTAGTTTTTTTATGTTTATTGGGATGTCAGAGGAAACGTAGCAGTCGGCTATCTCTTGGAGCTCAGAGGTAGTTTCTTTGCAGGAGGTTTCCTGCCGCCACCCCAAGCTGGCTCTCTGGCGCAGGCTGTCTTCAGGTTGCTACTTGCTCAAGGCGCGCTCTGCGCTAATGGATTGATTTCCCCCTCGCTTACCTCTCAGTTGTTCCTGATCGGCCACATCGCACTGAATAAACAGAGTCTTCTGAGGTTCAAACTGCTCATCCAGGGCAGCTTTACACTTGACACCTGCTTCGAGATTCCAATCGACCAGCGCTACCTACAGACAAAAGGAGAGGAATCGAGATCCTTCGCGCATGATAAAACAGACAGACAGATCGACAATGCAGAGACAACAGGAACCTCCTCGTTTGGACCTGAGATCGGGCAGTTTACAGATCGGGTTCTCTGCCGGCTCATTTGAAGTCCGCTGGAGTGCTCCAGCCTGGACAGCTCTGGAGGCGGCAAGGAGAGCACCGGGGGCTCAGCCTGGTCGCTCACTCCCGGGGGCCGCGGCTGCAGGGCCGGTCTCGGGTGGGCCGTGCGCCTCGCCGCGCTTACCTTGGCGCCCTTGAGCAGCAGTGCCTCGGCGGAGGCTCGGCCGATGCCCTGGGCCGCGCCAGTCACCAGCGCCACTTTGCCGTTCACGTGCATGTCGCCGCCTGCGCTCGGTGGGCGAGCTCGGCGTCTCGGCGCGGCCGCGGCTTTTAAGGACCCTGCGCGCGCGCATGTGTGGCCGGGCCGCGCTCGCCTGCCAGTGGGCGGGGATGAAGCTGTCAAGCCGCGCCGGCACCCAGGACTGTGTCACCTGGCCTGAGCGCTCCGTCCAGGCGATTTTTGCCTTCCTGACTCGTAGCCGAGCCTAGGAGCCTCCCCCTGCACTAGGGCATGAGACATGCGGTAAATAAACAGCCCTGCCTCTGCGGAGCTGGTAACCTAAGCTAGCTGGGGAGATGATGACTTGGACGCCCGCTGGCTGGTTAAGGAGCACACAGAAAGGTTATTCCCCAGCAAGAGATCCCCTCTGTGCGCCGAAGAGTACCCCGTAAAAGGAGGGCAGAGGAGAGGTTGAAGAGCTTGGATTCCTCCCCGAACCCCTCCCCCCACCCCCACCCTCCAAAAAATCGAAAAAGAAGAAACAAAGCAAAAACCAAAAACAGTAAAGCACAATTTTAGGGACTGCACTTTTGTCTCAATCTAAGTTTTTAAATTCTTATCTCAAGGACATCGAAGTGGGGACGGAGGGAGCAGAGGTGACTAACACTGTTTTTAGGTTTTTGTTTTTGTTTTCTTACTGAATTGTGCTTTGGACAAACCTGTAAAGGGGTTGGAAATGAAAAGTGCACTGGGCTCTTAACAGAAACCCCTGGATCCTGTCTTTCAAGACTGGAACTTTTAGGAGTCTTGTTGACACTCAGGTTTCACATCAGCGTCGATTCTGGGTCACCCTGAGAGTGCCCAGCAAGAACTGTCATCACTGACTGCACTGGGCTTCCAGCCTCGCTGTCAGCCTGGTGAGGTGCAGGTTCAATGGAATGTTTGCTGGTTGAGTCATACTAGTTCTGGAGGCTTCCAGTTAAGTATGGGACAGAGGTTCCTGGTCCTCCAGGAATCTGAGCTTGAGCTGTGCACTAAGATGCATTCAGTTGGGGATACTCCACTGACTTTGTCTTTCTCTCTTTCTGTTATCATCTGCAGGCTTCAGTTCTAGTTCTGTAAACTGAATACCTGCCTGGCATTTATTTTCATGATCAAAGAAATCTAAGTACTTGGGGAGACAGAGGTCAGGCAAAAAGCTCACACAACAGGGATGAATCCTTTGCGTACTTCTTTGTTGCTCCCAAGAGGCAGCAGATGAGGTAACTGGCATGCAGGCATGTATGGGGAGGGTGTGTGAAATGTATGTTGTCAGCACACCACTGAAACAGAAGTCTTTATATTGAGAGAGAATAGCAGAGGATTTTTTAAAAAAATTAAAAGGAAGCAAAGGAAAACCCAGACCTCTAGAAGCACGTACAGAACAGAAGAAAGGAAATGTTTTTCTTTATCAGGAAAGAACTAACATAAGAGCCAGAGAAGGAGCCGCTGGAGTGGCACGGGGACGTGTTGGAAAAGCATATGGAAAAAGAGTTTCAGGGAATAAAGGAGTCATTACTAATGCAAAGTACTCTGATAAGCACAGGGAAAGAAGGATGAAGAAATACTTTAAAATTTTCCAGACAATAATCGGTGTCAGTATATTTACTTTTTAAATTTGATTTTTGTTCATCATGATTTTTTTTTAATCAATGTTTATGTTTACTTATATTTTGGCCACATCCTGTGGCTTGTGGGATCTTAGTTCCCCAACCACGGATCAAACCCATGACCCTGCAGTGGGAACACGAAGTCTTAACCACTGGACCCCCAGGGAAGTCCTGGCGTCAGTATATTTAGATGGCACAGAAACCAAACGCTGAAATTTAAGGGAAAAAAGGATGAGAAGGTGAACATTGCAGAGGTTTAAGCCCAACATGACATGGGAAGCAATAGATTGCATGGTAGTTGGAAAGACTAGTAAGCAGATGAGTTATTCTTTTAAGAAAGGATAAGGATGGATTCAGGTTAAAAGCCAGTCAGTGAGAGTGAAAAACAGGAGAATAGAAGTGGTAAGGGGGTGGGTGGGTGCGTGGCTGGGTGGGTGCATCAGCTGCAGATTCAGACAAAGCTGGTTTGGGTCTTGTCTCTCTGCTCCTGCCTGATTGTGTGACCTTGAGCTAGTTGCTTCAACGCTGTGTTTCAGAGCCCTTATTGGTAAGTAGCAACTCCTATCAGACTTTAGGGACAATGAAATTAGGTCTGGCATAAATTGATAACAATTTTAGCTCATATGAGATGGAGAAAAATGTGAGAAACAATTTTATTAGTAGAAAGGAAAGACTGGGAGTTCGAGCACAGTTGGTAACCCCCACCCCTTTCCTTCCCCTTGGTTTCCATGGTGACTGTCTTTGTTCAGACCCTCTATACTTTCTCTTCTGACACAAATAGCAGTTAGACTCCTGAATTATTTCTTTGCCTCCAGATAGCATTGACGTATATACACTACCATGTGTAAAACAGATAGCTAGTGGGAACCTGCCGTATAGCACAGGGAGCTCAACTCAGTGCTCTGTGGTGACCTAGAGAGGTGGGATGGGGAGTAAGGTGGGAGGGAGGTCCGAGAGGGAGGGGGTATATGTGTACGTACAGCTGATTCACATTGTTGTGCAGAAGAAACTAACACAACATTGTAAAGCAATTATCTTCCAATTATAAAAAAAATTCCTTCCAATAAAAATCCTAAAACACAAATCTGATTATGTTTAGACATTCTTATGTTTAAAACCCTTAAAATATCTCAATCCTTGGCATGGCATGGTAGGCATTCCACACCCCTTATCTTTCTTGTAGCTCCTCTTTACAGCCTGGGAAGCTGCACCCATTAACACTGACCTCGCTGCCCAGGGTCAGGCCTTTGGCATACCACTGATGTCTGCTCATCTGAGCACAGCCCTCTTTTACCTTCTTCACTCGTCTTCTTACTGAGCTGAAGAACTACAGGGGAAACACCACTCGCGTTACTATAATTACCTTCCTTTCTGTCTCTGCGTGTCTTCAAGGACAGCTGTGTCCTGAGCATTCAGGGCAGAGTCACCCAAAGTGAGTACTTAGTAAATGTTAGTAGTTTAGCATTAGTCGCTTAGTCATGTCTGACTCTTTGGACCCCAGGGACTGTAGCCTGCCAGGTTCCTCTGTCCATGGAGTTCTCCATGCAAGTATACTGGAGTGGATAGCCATTCCCTTTCCCTTCTCAAAGGGAATCTTCCATACTCAGGGATTGAATCCAGGTCTCTTACACTACAGGTAGATTCTTTACCATCTGAGCCATCAGGATTGAATGAAGAAAAATAATAAGTATGATATGTGAGATAAATGTGAGATATGTGTTCGAGAGAAGACAGAAAATTTGAATTAGATGGTGAAAATTCCCACATACTGTGATTACTTTTTTACACAACTTAAACATAAGATTGGAAAAAAATACATGGGTGTTATATATTTGGAGAAGAATGTTTTGAGATCTTATTATATTTTATATGAAAGGTACATTTTCACTTAAAACTCTCTATAGGATATTATGTACAGTATGTTTGAAAATCAAAACAGGTACACTATTCAGTAAACAAATCCTCCATTCCTCTATGACTTTTTGATAAACACTTCTCATCTTCTGTGCCCCTAACATTACTTAATTTCATTTACATTAACTTACTGTGATTCTATCATCAATGTAATTTATGTAATTAAAAACATAATTCTTAGCTAAAACTAGGTTAAATTTGAAACAACCATATTCGTATGATTTTTGAAAGCATTCCTATTGATAGGCTATGTTTTAGTTTGTTGTACAAAGTCCTCTTAAAATAAAAAACAAAAATTAAGAGTCAAATTAAAAGGGATTATTTTTTCTTTAATGCAATTGTAAGTATTAGGTTATGACCAACCTAGAGAGCATATTAAAAATAGAGACATTACTTTGCCAACAAAGGTCCATCTAGTCAAAGCTATGGTTTTTCCAGTAGTCATGTATGGATGTGAGAGTTGGACTATAAAGAAAACTGAGCACCAAAGAATTGACGCTTTTGAACTGTGGTGTTGGAGAAGACTCGAGAGTCCCTTGGACTGCAAGGAGATCCAACCAGTCCATCCTAAGGGAAATTAGTCCTGAATATTCCCTGGAAGGACTGATGCTGAAGCTGAAACTCCGATACTTAGGCCACCTGATGCAAAGAACTGACTCATTTGAAAAGACCCTGATTCTGGGAAAGATTGAAGGCAGGAGGAGAAGGGGACAACAGAGGCTGAGATGGTTGGATGGCATCACCGACTCAACGGACATGAATTTGAGCAAACTCTGGGAGTTGGTGATAGACAGGGAGGCCTGGCGTGCTGCAGTCCATGGGGTCACAAAGAGTTGGACATGACTGAGCGACTGAACTGAACTGAAGTATTAGGTATTTACTCAGAGGCAGGCATTCCATAAAGGCTAAATATATAGCCTCTGGAATCCAGCTCCACCAGCTACTCCTGTGTGATCTTGGGCAAGTGACTTAACTTCTCTGAATCTCAGCTTCCTCCTGAGTAAAATGAAGCTGATGATAGTACCTATTTCAAAAAATTGTTATGAAGACTATACCAAATTGAATAAATATAAGTCAAGTGCTTAAGCCAGTGACTGACACATAGCAAGTGTTATGTAAATGTTATTCTCATGAAGCACTGTACATATATAATTGCATTTATTGTTTACAACCAGACCATGAGGCAGTTATTATTGTGGTTATTTTACAGATGAGGAAAACCAGTTTGGGGAGGTTAGGGAATTTGGCCAAGGTCACTTATCTCGAAAATTGAAGGAGGTGACTTTGACTCTAAGTGTGGCTGACTCCTGAGTGGTGCTTCTTCTTTTTTTTTTTTTCCAATTAAACTTTTTATTTTTTTGAGAGTATTGTAGCTGAGCAGTACTTTTCACCATGACTGAATAGTGATTTTTTTAAGAAACACAAATAGACTTTAATTCAAATCAGAGTTCCTTGTCCACTTTATATTTTCACACAGGCACTAGGCTTTGTTAG